AACAATCTTCGTAATATAAGGTGAGAAGCAAATTAGGAAAAAATTGAGTACGTTCTTTTAAATTACCTTTCCCACGACTATCAACATATATGGGTTTCAGACGAGACACTCTGTACTGAAGACTCATGAATATTTTCTTCAGCTTTTGAATATTTCAATATCTGAAATATTTCAATAGCTGGTCAATGCTATATTGAATGTGAAAAAGTGTTTAGTCTAACATGTTTTCCGGCGTAGAATGTATTTCAGACTAAAAGGGTTATGTATCCTTTGTTTGAAAGTTTTTAGCTAAATGGCAAGTAGTCTGCAAGCAATTTGAAGTGGCAAATTTTTAATAAATTATACTTAATAGCTTAATGATAATTTATGACAGAGTTATGTTAGTAGAAATAGAATAATAATTTTTAGCGATAGCTGTAATTTTAAAGGACGATTTTAATTTAAATAACGTTTAAAATAATTGCTAATCGTAAAAGACATAAATACCTTTTTATAGAGAATAAAAAACGACATGCATCAATGTTAGCAAATGAATAAAGATAATATAGAAATATGGAGTTTTTAATTTCATTTAATTCTTTACTACTTCTCTCCATTTTCTATAATTTTCAAATGCAACTGTTTGGAATTTGAGTACACTGCAAACGAAAAATTTAAAAGCACTGATATTTTTGAAAATATCTTTAAAATAATATTAAATAATTAGTAATTTACTCGACTATTATCTAATAAAAATTTAGCATACTTTGGATTATTTTTTTAAATAATCAAATGATAATATTACTCGAAGTAAATCACAGGCAATTTTCATAATTATTACCTAACTTTTTATTTATATTTTTAACCTTTGTATTAAAATTTTCATTTAATAATTATTATACTGTCTCAACTCAAACACTTGTCAGAGTCTTTATAGTTTGCTTCTTATTCTTTGATCTCTTCACGTGAAACTATTATGCCTTTATTCAACCATTAATAGATGTAACACGCTTGTTACGTAGAAAACTATCATAACATCATACTTATCATGAATTTTTGCAAGGTAATCTACTATTATGCAATACAAGGGTGTTCCAAAATTACCCAAAATGATTAGAATACGAAAATAAAGTACTTCGAAAATTTATGTTAAGAGACATAAAAATTGCAAATTGAGAAATTTATTAAAATTATTTAAGATTATTTAAGATTGTTTAAAACATGAATTGTTTAATCTACATATAATAGAAAATGGACATTGAGGTCTCTATTATTGCTAAACCATACATTATTCAAACTGTAAAAAGATGTTAATTATCTAAGAATAACAATTTCATATAAAATACAGCAATATATTATTTAACATAATATTTAAAAATAACGAAATGTACTCGGGAGTTATGAAATTGAGAAATTACAAGAGGAAAATATATAGTTTATTTCATTATTAATTTATCATGTATAGTCTATTCTCTTTAAAATTAATTAATAAAAATAAGACCTCAAGCTATTAAAAATATAAAAATGTCATTTGTTTAAACGATATTTTGCAAAAAAGATGAAGTATACCATAAAACTTCAAAATTGTTAAAATTAACAAAAACTACTGGCGAGAAATCGTATAAATGGAAATCTTCCGTCGCTTTCACGAAAAAATTGATAAGATTTCAATCGTAAATGTTAATTAAATGAGCTGAAACGTTTTTCTTGCTGATTTAAACCTTAGAAATTTCCTGAAATAATCTATAACCTTTTTAACAAATTTTTATTTTAATTTGTTGAAATAAAAAGATATATGAATAGATATTATCAGTATATTTATTAACATTTTTTAATTAATCTTCTAGTCTATACGCTATTTTTCACACATTTTGAAATAATGTTTCACGTGGAAATGTTTATGGAGATTAATGAGAATAAATAAGAATAAACAAAACTTACTATTCACTATTTTACTATTTTGCAATTACAAGAAAAGAAATAACTTTGTTTTCAGAATCTAAAGATATTTCTGAAGAAACTGCTAATTATTGATAAAAACTCACGAAAATATTTATAACTGAATAATAATACTTGAACTTAATGAAATTACAAAAGTGCTGTTAATAAAGTAAATAAAATGAGAAAAATACATCTAATAGGATTAACCGAATTAAAAAATTTAATCAACTGTATTAGAAAATGTAATTAATAAAATAATTAAAGAGCATAAAATAAAATTAACCAAATATAATTTATGAAATCAATTAAGTCAGAATAATGCTGGCACACCGGTTGAATTAGTAACAAGGTTTCAAGCAAAAGATGTTATTAATATCATCTCTGATTTATTTCCAAATATAAATAAATTATTTCATATTTTGAACTATTTTTTGTTTTAGATAAATTATTTAATAAATTAATGTATTTAATATTCTTCTGTATAAGCAAATCATTTATACTAAATGAATTTTCAACTTGGATTTCACCGATTACAAAATCGCAAGAAAAAATTTCATTTCATATCTCTGATTTATTTTTCTACCTACAGTCATATCCCACGTAGTCGTGTCATACTAATTTGATTTGAAATAATTTTGAAACGAACATCGTATTCAAGATACAATTTTTTTGCCGCTTTCCGATTCTATACTCTATAAAAATTCATATAAAGAAATATAAAAATCCAAAACTGTTTGCACAGACCTATACCATATTAAAAAATGTAACTACCTTTCCAACTTGATACTAAAAAGAAAAAAAAGAAAAAAATGCAACGAACGGTGCAGTTAATACGATTAATAAATAAAAAGGTAAGATCAAAATCTTATTTGATTTGAAATATCTATAGTCTATGCGTCACTGCTATTGCTTCTTCGCGATAATAACTGTATTCATAGGTTCATGAGCATTATGAAGTACGTGCCTCTAGCGTAAAATGTATGCTGCATAATAAGATCATCAACGTGGGTCATCGGTAATCTACGCAGCGTTAACGAGAAGACATAGAAAATCGAAGCGACGTATATAATGTGTTCAAATGTACAATATTAGAAAATATTTGATAATATATATGCTTTCACATCTTTCCTACTTTCAAATTTATTACCTTATGGAAGTCTCACATTAGAATGTTGAATCTGAAATACCTTAATAGTCTTTAATATCGTTTCCTCAGAAAAACTTTTCCATTTATTTTTAATATATTTCTGTTCCCATTAATATTTATATGAATATTATATTTATTATTATATTAATATTACATTTGAAGTACCTCAATAGTGTTTAATATTATTTTGATACAAAATTTTTTAATTTGAATACCTATTTCTATTTTGTTTTTATTTAATATAATGTATTTCTGATTTTAATATCACGTTTTGATTATTAATGGTGTTAATAAATGATTTTTTTATCGTTTTAGTGGTTTTTATATAATTTCATTTAAAAAATAAAAGTAAGATATTTTTATTTCCATCATGAGACATGATAATTTTTAAATTAAAATACAGTTTTATACTGTAAATAACATGAATTTAAAAAATGGCATGAGCACACAGATATGGGTTTCAGAAATGATATTCCTGATAAGTATAATACATTCACAAAATAATTCAATCTTGCCATTTCTACTGTCTCAGTGATACAAAACATGAATTTTTTATGCATGTGTATGTTAAAAAAGACAAGAACATGTTATTTCAATGCAAATTACATAATTTCTGAACTTCCATGTAATATTTAATAGAGCTTCTACAGATTCAGTGTTAGAATATCTGTTATGATACAAACTCTTCTAGGAAAATTCTGAATCTAAATAAGACTTGAAACATAATTCATTCGCAATATTATTTATACCTTTAAATACTAAATTGCGTAAATAAAATGACCTAAGACCGCATGAAGTATAATTCAGACATCATTACTTGCAGCTTTGAGCATTTAAGGTAATCTTTCCAAAATAAAACACTTAATTACTTACATTACCATTAAAAGTGCAAGGAGGCACCTAAAACAAAATTTTTTAAACTGGAACCTTACATTGATTAATACGATATTTTAATATTCTATGAAATACGTATTAAAATTTTTCAATTATCACAGCAGTTAATTTCAAGTATTACATATACTTGTAAAATATTTATTCGAAAGACATATCTTTCCTAAACAAATTTCAACCTTCCCTATTAAGAAAAATAAATAAATAAATAAAATAAATATATTTAAAAAATATCAGCTACGTGTCTTCAAAAAATGATCACATTTTTTCTTAAAAATAAAAACCAACATAACTACCTCCTTCATCACACTGATTTTTCGTCGCAAGGCATGTACAAATTTTTTCCCTAGGCATATAACGCTTAAAAATCCTGTAAAAGACCAATAGTTTACTTTTCATTAAAAATGGAGGAAGACCAAGAGGATATCTTACAAAGCGTAAATAATTCACCGGTCAAACAAAAAAAAAAAAAAAAAAAAAAAAAGAAAAAAA